GTACTTACCAGAACCTTTAGAAGAGGTTTTTGTTTCAAAATTAATGCAACACTATTTTCAGGTTTTAATTAAGTAAGTTATAATTGCGTATTATAGATTGTATGCCAAGGTTTCAACAGACATTGAGAAGTTTGTTCAAAACAGAAATATTTTGAGTATTGCCCATTTACATTTTTTTTAAAGTACATAAAATGAAAACGAAATATGAGAGGCCTTCAAAAAGTTCATAGAAAAATTTTGTTATATTTTCATTCCATTTTTCCATAAACTTTTTGAAGTCCCTGGTAATTATTCCTTCAGAAGTGTTAGGGTCGGTAAATTATTTTGGCTGTCTAAGACACAGGCTGTAAAAGGCACACTTTCAACACTCTTTTTATAGGAAATTTAAAAATTAACTTCCCTTTTAAAATACTTTTTTTTAGCAGTAAAGAAATCTAACAGCACTAAATATAATTCAAGTATATTTTGAACTAAACCTATTTTGAATAGAATTATGTTATTATTGGCTTAATATTTAGTATAACATTTATTAAAAGTATCAGTAAAGGGAGCCAACATTAATATATTTTTTAAACAAAATGTAGGTATGCTTTGGTAGAGTTTGATTTAGCATATTAATAAAATACACTTAAATTTTAAGTTGCAAAAACAATATATGCTGAAATTAGATAATCAGTTCTTCATTTAACAATATGCTGTCCTCAAATTAAAGCTCCCTAAAAAGTAAAACCTAATGTTTGAAATAAAAAGTCAGTACTTGAGACTTCTAAACCTAATTTATCAAATAGAGAACTTTTAAAAGAACATCAATAGCATTCAAAAAAGATGCTTATTTAAATTAATAAATGGAAAGGACCACACCCACACATCCCCCCACAGTTTTTCTTTAATTACTAAGGCAGAAAAGTATACAGTTTTCAACAAACTTTACTAAGAGATTATCTATTATGAATAGCTCAAATGCACACTTTCAAATTAAAATAACAGTTTCCCTGCATCTTCAGACATAAACAGAAATTATCAGTTTATCTCCCTGTACTGCCAAAGTTTAGAATATGTTTTTCAGAAATATTTGAGGGTATTTCTTTTTGTAGTCATTTGTTTTAAGTAATAAAACAAGCTAAAATTTAAATCACAAATTAGTCATTCCTTTCCAAAGTGCTGAAAATCAGGAATAAGGTAAAAAGTTGCTTTAAATTTCTCAGCTGCAGATGCATTTTTCATGTTTAATTACTACACACTATGGTTCTCTTCATAACAAAGATGATAGTCTTCAAAATATTACACTTAAGTGATCATTTCCTTTGTTTCTGGATTTCAGAAATGACTGTGCAGTCTTGAACAATCCTCAAGCTATACTATGAACAGCTTTAAATGATTAACACTGTATAATTGTCAACTTAAAAAAAAAAAACTTGTATTTTTTTAAGGGCAATATGATCTTTATGTAAAATTTTCCAGAAATTGTGTCAGTTGGGGGGAGGGGGAGGAGTCTCTAAATTGGGAAGGTATTTCCAGAAATGAATGTTTCCCCAAATCATGTTTGTATTTCAGACTGCCCATCAGCCATTCCCAATCATTATTTATATAGCTGCCTGGCACCATTCCATGGACTTTTAATGCATCTCTACAGTGTTTCTGAACAGACTGACATAGATTTTGTTTACTGACAGCAACTAAAAGCTCCATGTAGGATCATAAATAAAGACAATCATGTTTAAAAATCACTAATATCATTTTAAAAGGTAGTGCAGGATTGTGTTTTGGCCTCTGTTTAGCTGTGTTAGGCCTATGAATGACAGCTTCCCTGCTTGAGGCACACAGAAAGCACAGCCTTCCTCATTCACTGACAGGACTGTGGCCTTTTCACACGTTCCTTCCACAGCAGTGTTTGTCCCCAAACACTGGAACTCGACACAATGGCATTCCTACTTCAACACCCCCACCAACAGCACCAGACACCAGAAGAATGCTAATGAGATGGTACAGACCTCTTCACTGAAAGTGTTAACTACATTTCATAGGAACTCATTTATGCGATTTCAAAAATTACCAATTAAATAGATTCTGCTTAGCTCTGAGCAATTTCTAAGATGTTTCCACTTTTAAGGAAATAAATATGATAAATGTAAGACTAAGTGATTTTATGCTGTCCTAAATATAATATCTCATTTTAACACACACCAATCAGTATATATTTAAGACCACCCTAATGTAGTGTGCTTAATGCAGTTGCATGCTGTAATAGTTAGGCTAAAGTTAAAAATTGAAAAATGAGTAAACATAAAGTCAGTAAGTCTGAGTTTTCTTTTTAGCTACATTATTAAAATTTATTTAAAAGAAACCTCTTTTAGGAATACTCAAGCATCAATTTAAAGTCTGTAGTCTTTTGACAGAATGGCATCTAAGCAACATTGTTTTTATATTTGAATCCCAAGTGGAAACAAGGAACCAATATCAATAATTAGTGTTATCCTTAATACATAAACACAGATTTGGGTAGAACATAGAAATCTACACTCTTTTCCATTTTACCTGTCTAATAGTTCCTTCACATAAATGTGTACAAAGCTAAATAGAAAAGACTGTCCCTGAAGTCAAAGGAAGTAAGTGTAGTTCAAATAAAGTTCACTAATGCTAAGAAGGAGATTTGCTAAGAAATCCTAAATCTCAAATAAAGCGAATGCAGGGCTTAACACATAACCACTGCTGCCCTGGTAAGGGTGGCACTGTAGTGACTTTTCTAAGCATTACCAATCATTTGAAATTAAGTCATGGTAAAGCAATACTAAAGGAAACAGGATCAGTAAGACAGAACTGGTCATGCATAGGAAGCAGAAATTTGTGTGGAAATAGAGAATAAATGTCTTCGTCATCTGTATATTTTAAAATTAAAATTGTGCAAATACTAAGCTAACACTGTTGTGTGTAAAAGCTTCAAGCTGTTTCAATTTAGCAGGGGTAAAGGTTTAGAAAGAAATGGCAGAATCTAGGTTTTTTAATATTCTTAGATTTCCCATAATGTTGAAAGCCTTATTTATTACATAGCAAATTCTGGAACACTAAAAGTGTTCATTAATATTCATTCATATCTATAACTAGTATTTGTTTTTATGCTAAAGTTTATTTTTATCAATTTAAAGCCAAAAAAGGCTGTTTTTTAAAAAAGCAAAAGTTCTAAGTACTTCTTAAAGCATTTTCTTTTCTCTCACAATACACAGACCTCTCTTTGAAATCTAGCATAGCTGTTAATTTTTTAAATGTTTAGGAGTGTGGAAGAAAACATGCCACAATGATTTTTCTGAGATGCTGCTTATCTCTAACAGTCTTACTTTTCATAAAACCAAAAATATTTAAGATTTAATAGGAGAAGCACGGGACTGCTAATTGTAAAGTAGGTAGTTCAAACCCAACAGCCATTCATTGGAAACCTTATACAGGGTTGCTATGAGTCAAAACCAGCTCGATGATGCTTAACAACAACATATATATAAATACATACATATACATACATACATACAAAGGGACTTCAAAACGTTCATGGGAAATCGAATGAAAGGTAATGGAATTTTCCCATGAACTTTTAAAAGTCCTCTCATACAAATAAACTTGTACTAAGGAACCCTGGTGGCACAGTGTTTAAGTGCTCAGCTGCCAACTGAAAGGTCAGAAGTTCAAACCCACCAGCCACTCCACAGGAGAAGGATGCCAACAGTCTGTTTTCTTAAAAATGTACAGCCTTGGAAACCCTCTGGACACTTTTATTCTGTCCTATGTAGTCATTGGAGTCCTGGTGTGGTGCTGTGAGCTAATGTGTCAGACTGCAAAGACGTTTAACTGCAAGGTCTGTGGTTCAAGCTCACCAGCTGCTCCTTGGAAACCCTACACAGGGCCGCTATGGATCAGAATCAACTTGACGGCACATAACAACAGGAACAACATGTGGTCCCTAGGAGTCAGATTCCTAATTGATGGCAATGGGTTGTTTAATGGGTTTTTGTTGTGGGTTCTTTAACATTACATCATGCTAAATCTGATTGTGGCATCAAACCATATATTACCAAATAAGTGATAATTATTAAATTAGATATAATACATTAATTTTATAGTATCATTATATGTTAAAATCAGTAAAAGGCCGTTCCAGTAAAAAAATTTAATTTAAATATAATGAAAAAAATTGACACCAATTTCTATATCTGATATCAGCTAAATAAAGAACATTTAAAGTAAATCTTGATTTTTTTATTCTTTCATATGTACAAATACTTCTTATTTGTAATACCTAATAATCTAGTTTATGAATCCATTGAAATGAATTATTTGGGTGGGGGAAACAATCAAATTTTGCGAATAAAAGATTTTTCTGCAGGGGGATGTTTCTTACTAGTTTCTGGGTATCTTACTTAGTTCAAGACTTTCTTCCAAAGTCAACGCAAGTTGTTCTTTTCTGTACAAGACGGCAGGAGGTGCTGTGTGAACACTGAGCCTAACATCCCAACCCAACACCCAACACCCCTCCCCCGCACACAGAGAATAATAGCATGATGCTTTCAAAATATTCATTTTTCAACAGCCTGTGGCCTGAGATAATGAGCCTACTTCTGAACTGGAGCCTCCTCATTAGAAATGTAAAACCTGGTCCATATTTAACATGGTAAAATATATGGTTAACTTCTTCACATCAAGTGCAAAGAAGCTTTTAAAAATGTGGCAACTCCATTTTTATTTTATAAATGGCCTCAATTAGTTGGATTTCAAATGTGACTTCTACTTTGAGATAAATCAAAGTCTTTATGAATACTTACTTTAAAAAATCAGCAAAGCCTTGAGACACAGACACACGTATAATTATTGAATGGGCATATAGAAATTAAAAGACAAAATCAAGTTCAACCTGATTCAAATACATAAATTCTATTCCCATACTGGTGGTTCTCAAACATGCATGTTAAATAAGTGAAGTAAGCTATTCTTAAAATGAAGTTCATTCACCAATTCTATGTCTCAGAATAAGATTTCTTATATCTTAGCTCCAATTCTAGAGCAGCGATTCTAATTTCATACTAAAAAAGAAAGAAAGAAAAAGAGAAAAGAAAGCTAAACATTTAAGCCTTCAAATGCCTTTGAAGCTATTCATTTTCTTGGTTAACGTAACTGTCTATAGAATTTCCACTTAAGGAGTTGCCTTTGCTTTGCACAGTATGCAGCTAGAAAGATGAGACATATGACATCCCATACCAAAAGACAGATACAATTAGCCCTATTATTGTTGGCTTTGAGATTACAGAAGAAGCATTTTGGCTCCCTAACGGGCACTGAGTTCACAAAATGCATGTCACCATTCTCTTATGACACTATGCCAATCATTGTCTCTATATGACCAAGTACATTTTAAAAATATATATTAATAAAGCAGTTTTTAAAGAGGGATGACTCACCTGTTTATAATAGTTTTTTGCAGACTTTAATCGTTCGGACAAGGCCAAAAGAACTCCTTGGATGTACATCTTAGCTCCTGAGGGGCTGAAACCTTCTCCCTTAGAGACCCACACTGGTCCCCGCAAAGGTGTGATGGAATTTTGCAGGCATTTTTCAAGCAGAGGAACTATGCAAGAAAAAAAGGGAAAAGAAATTCTTTTGACCCAACCGAAATGCATAGCCTGGAACACAGTCCCTGTACCAGTGATAAGCTAACTCTTAACATCTATTATTTAGATCTGACCTGGGTTAAGTCTTAGAGAGGCAATTCCTGTATTACTAGTGGCCACCATGAAGGATGTATTTATATTGAGACACCCCCCATGCAAGACTCATAAGCTTTGTGAGCACACCTGAATAGTTCTGAAGTGTGCCTAACTAGCTGCACGGAGTGTCATGGTGTGCACTGATTGCCTTATCTTCTCATTTATCACAGATGAGTTGGAACCAACCTTGCTGAAATCTACTTGCATTGTCCTGATAAAATTGTAAGATCCATGGTGTTTCTGTATGTAGCCTCCCGTAGAGGAGCCTATATCCCTCAAACCTCACATCTGGAAATTATTCATAAAATATAATCTATACCTTTAAGAAACCATACTCTTCTAGGCTTTCCATTATCATTGCTTAAATAACCCTTAAAACAGGGTGGCAAGACTGTTTAAAAATAAGGGAGGGAATTTAAGCAAGCATTTTATCAGACCTTGTTGATTTTTAACTTTCTGGGATATAAACTAGTCAAAGATTTAGGAATGCGAGCCTAGCATGCGTTTTGTAAACAGATAGAAGATATTTGCTTGTGGGGATGTATTGCAACATCCATATGGACTTGACAGACATGTTTATACACTTTTTCACACGATTAGCTTATAAAGCCTTTCTAGTGTAAAATAGTCAAATAACATGGCAGCTAGCTAACATTTTTCAAGATTTAATTTCCCTCTGAAAAAGGCAGAAAAAATAAAATCTTAGGTATACTTGGGAACCGAGGAGAATGAAAGAATATTTTTTTAAAGTTGTCTTTTCTTTCGTATATACATAGGATACATACAAAACTGCACAGAAAAACTAGGTGGTTTGGGTGCCTTATTATCTCACATATTTCTACTAGAAATGGAATTAAATAGATCACCAGCCAAGAAAATAGTTTGAAGTCATTGCTTATGTTATATGTTGCATATTTTATGGCGGGAGGCCTAGCACAGCAATCTGGAAATTGAATTACAATTAGGTTCAGCTGAGCTGCTGAGAGGCTGAGTTATGCAAATGGCCTTTTCTGGTATTCTGCTGAAATTTGCACTCAGAAGAAAAGTTATGTGTTTTATGGCACTAAGTTCTACAACTCTCTACCAAAGTACAATGTAGTCTGTCACAATATAAACTTTATTCTCAAATAGAGTTGAAAATTCTCTAAGACCAGTATAAATAAAGTTAAGCAGAAATGATGACCCAATGACTATGTACACATCCTCAGTTAGTGCATGAAATTCCTTCACCCAGCCTGAGAAGTTTATTCCTAACATTCAGCTAGCAATTCCATTTTTATACTCTTGGAGATATCACTATTCCCTGTAAGTTTTTGTCATTAACAAATGTTAACGACCTTTTAAAAACATAAAATCAGATACATTACTATCAAAATAACAAGCAAAAGAGAAATGTACTCACTTTCAGAATCATAAGTCTTTAATTTTTATAAGTATTATATAAATCAACCTCGATTATAATTTTTCCTAAAGAAAACTAGCTAAAAAAAAAAGTCATCATTTTCAGTTTATTTATATTGTTATGTATTCTATTTTGATCTGTACCGTTTTAATTGGCACTCTCATCAAACCTAGCAAGTTTTGCTTATGGAAAGATATTATATAAATTGCTGTGGCGATTAAATAAAGTTATATAAATTGAGTAGTGGATAATAACTTGAATAATCTATAGTCCAAATTTAATCTTGAATTTAAACTTCAGAAAATTTTATCAAATTCTACATCTTTACAAATATATTAATCTATGCTTATCATAATATAACTTTCAAATTCTTTTTGTGAGCCCAAAGGATACCAAAGAAGTTTTTACTAGCTCTTCAAACACAACACTCTACTTGTCTCTAAGTTTTTACTCTCTTTAAGAATTTAAGGGGGAAAAAAAATTCAGCTTAGGGAAAAAAAGAATTATACCAAAACTCACGCAGTGTCAGGATTGATATTGGATAGAAAATAGCTCCCATGCTCCACATGATTTATGTAATTAGGAATACTATGGAAACCATAAACAGTAAAGCAAAGAAAGCAGTATTCACAAGCAGGTTTTATAAGGGACTTCAGAATCTGCTCTGAACTTGTTGAATAATCTGTTCAGTATTCCAGAATCTCCCTGCTGGAAGTGAGGCCCCTCATTATAACCACAAGAGCACTAATAAAGGTTAGCCTCTGAACTAGGGATTAGAATGGCTCTTTCTCTTTGGAAACTGCAAACTAGTAACTTTGATGATCTTCTTGAAAAGCAAGATAAAGCACACTCCAAGAACAAACAGTGTTTCCACTAACTAGGAAGGTACAGAAAACATAAGAAAATGATACGCCTAAATACTTGGAAAGGAAGTATAATCCAACCTAATGGCCTATATTGAAAAAATAAAATTTATTAGGCAACAGAATTACAGAACTCTCCATAAACAAGGAATCTTGCCCTGAATGATCATTTGTAAATATAATCGAATAATTTACTTTTTTATAAATTTACTTGACTTTCTAACCCCGACTATATGTTTAAAATGGTATGCATCATCGTTTAAGTGCTGTTTCCTTGGGTATTTATACATTCTAGACCAAAGAAGAGTTTGTGAGTATTCTGAAGCAATGGTTTTCTCCTCTTTTTATTAGGGTTCTTTCTGAAGCAAAACTTTCTTCTGTCAAAAACAACTATTGCATAGAGATGTGTAACAAATGAAAGTAATCATTTAAAAAGGTTCGCAAACACTTTTCAGCCTTGGAAATATAATAAACCAAGGTGTTAATAAAAACTGACAGATAGTTGTTGCTAAGCGTTATTGAGTCCGTTCTTGTATGGGTTTTCCGAGGCTGTACATCTTTGTAGGAGCAGTAAGCCTCACCGTTCTCCCATAGAGTGGCTGGTGAGCTAAACCACCAATCATGTGGTTCACCATCCAGTGCTTCCCATGGGTAACACCACCAACAAAACAAAAACTCCTGCCTTTTTCCAGGGAATGAACTTCAGGTTATTCTTTTCCATGTCCTTCCAATCCATGTGCTTCTTTTTCTTTAAATACCTCTCAGAAATATTGCCTCATTCAAGAAAGTCGTTGTTGTCAACTAACATTGAGGCGAGAAGCTTGGATGTTCCTGTGTTTTTCTATATGTGTACAAAACTACACAAAAGCATTTATTTCTGTTTGAGATCATTTTGAATGTTCTACATACCTTTTCCTACTTACATGATTGTAATAATAACTCTACAGCCTCAGAAACCCTATACAGGGTTGCTATGAGTCATAACTGACTCCATGACACTTAATAACAATAAGAACTCTGCTTTTCTGTACTATTGGTATTTTCACTAAGTGACCCAACACTTTTTATAAGATAAACGGTATGAAAATTTTCCCTTAAATTTATCATTAAGCATTTTTGTTGTTGCTAAGCGCCTTGGAGTCTGTTTCAACTCATAGCTACCCTGTATTAGGGTTTCCAAGGAGCAGCTGGTGGATTTGAACCACCACCTTGTAGTTCAGATCAACTTTGTGGTCCAGTGCTTATGGTACAGCACCACAACGGGGCTCTGTCATTATGCATAGATCAGTCGAAGATTATTCCAGTTGAGATAATTTCCATCTATCACCGAAGAGGTAAAAAGTTATGTGGATGATTCTTTTGATCTATTTTTAGCTTTTTATCCAGCCACTCCTCAGAAACCCTAGACAGAGTCGCTATGTGTCGGAACAGACTCGATGCACTTAACAACAACAAAGTTAGGATATGAGGCAAACGTAAAACCAACCCAATAGTTTCAGTCTGTTCTTAGTCAATACTGCGGATGATGGGTAAATAGATCATATGATCAAAAGTTGTAGCAATGTTAATTTCGTACTTATCAACTGATGCCTCTCACAATCATTGTTTAATTTCATTTGCATTTCTTCCCTCTATTAATCCTGGTGTGGCACTGTGGGTTAATGCTCTGGACTGCAAGGTCGGTTTGAACGGCAAGGTCGTGGGTTCAAACTCAAACAAGGTGGCTATGAGTCGGAACCATCTCGACAGCATTTAGCACCACCACCAACATTCTCCAGCTGTTATGTTTTGTCAATCCAGGCTCTTATCAAATGTTACCTCCTCTGAAAAATATTCAAAGTTATCAGGGCAAAATTAATTGTTTTCTCCACTATGTTTTCACAGAATTTAAAAAACGTTTCTTTTTCTCTTACCAATTTGTATTAGTCCCTATTTTCTCCCCTAATCTTTATTCCAGTAAATCATGAAACTTTGGGGGTTTGAGGTCAAGTAATTTTTCAGTCTGATAAAAGAGACGCTCAAAAATGTTTCCTGCATAAGTAAATCGTTCTTCACATAAACTGTGGATAGTCTTTTAGGAAAATTTTAAGACCATGAGTTGGACCATATATAATCTCTTCAACCTGTAACTGGCTAAGGCCTAATGCAAACTTGATTTTATCAAACAAAATTTAATCAGCGAATATACTGGAATTTCAAAGCACATTTAATAAATGTGATCATTTTCTCCTCTAATAAATCTGACATATTCTATAAACAGCAGTTTTATTTTAAGATTCTTTATAAAGTTATTTTGAAAACTAAGGAGAAAAAACATTTACAAAAAGAAAACCACAAGTTTGGCAACAAAGTATTAACTAGCCAGGAGAGGGCCAGTAGAGAGAATTACAAAAAGATCTTAGAAAGCCTGTATGTGCTCTAGTCTATCCAAAACATGCTATTGTGGGAAAAGGCACACAATAAAACTTAAAGAATAGAGCAATAGTATTAGGCAAACATCAAGATAGCTATTTTAAATGATAAGGCAATGTCCTTTAAGAACTCCTAACACAGTAAGTTCAAATGTTAAAGTTTCTTTAAACGGATCTTATTTTAA